CCAGTCTTCCACGTTTAACATCTGGTGATGACTCAATCATCAAGTCAGGTTCCTCTGCAATAACTTCATAACCATCACCTTCTGTTGTCGAGGGGGGGCTTAAACCAGGATTTTTTCCATCTAAAACCAAGTCCTCTAGCATTTTCTCAACAGCATCAACACCGTACACTTCCAACACACTCAGCGTACAGTAAAACTCCGAGCCATGATGACTGAGCAGGTTCAATTTGAGATACCTCACCCATTTCGGGTCTGGAATAACAAACCTCTGAGCATGCTTCACGTTCGCAGCAGTAAAATTCCCGAGTTTGGCCCATGAGTCGGTAGGATAAATAGGGCTGCCTAATAACTCAAAATCTTTCAAATTAGACGAATGATGCTCGAAATTTGAAATTTCAATCGTGTCTACCATAGTTTCTTCAGAAAGCTCTATCACGACAAACTTTTGTTCGGTCGAGCAAGGGTTTCGAAGGTACTTGTCTTTGTCGCCGTTCAAGATATTGGAGGCACCCTTTGCTTCCTTGTTGTAGGACACAACTTTTGCTCCTTTAGAAGCAGATGCATAATTGTATTCCGTCCCACCGGGCTCGACTCTGTGTATAATGCCTCCAGCCTGGCCTGTTAGATATTTACGTTTAGAGTTGATTGCTTTATTCTTGAACTCATCTAGTCCAGGAGGCACTCCACCGGATAACCTGTCAATCTTGGGATTCTCCTTTACCGTATTAGCCAGCAAATTTTTCTTAATGGAAGCTTCGTCGGCTGCAGATTCTGTGATTACTTTCTCCAGATTGTCCACTTTGCCCGTACTAAGAGCTGCTCTATTACAAGGTAAGGATGTCTGTGCAGAAGAATCTTCAGAGGCAATTGCCTGTGGTGGGTGCTCATCCACAGGTAATGCATAATTTGCTCCATTTGCAAATATGATTTCGTCTTCGTCCCATCTCGTTGAATTAACAGAATAATCTTCTCGTTTGTCTACATTAATCATTCAAAAAGGAAAATTTCACTGTGTGGGGAGATTACAAACCACAAAAATGTCACTTCTTGTACATGTGATAGTGAAGTTATATGAAAGCCAACAACTTGAGAGTCAGATACAAGAGTAAATAAGTTCCATTGCATTGCCAAAATATACTGCTCTTGAGAAACACATTGTCAAGCTTATAAAGAAATCTTGAGCTTCTTATTTATTCATAACACGTAGAAGCTTGATATTGGAGAAATTCTAACTATGCTCCATGCATAGCTCTCCAGATGTGGTATGATGCAAGAAAATCTCAGCAAAAGAGGAATTTAGAAACTGTACTCAGTCTAAATTAGTAAATGCCTGGAAGACTGACCATTTTCACCATCTCCATGGCCGATCCAAGTATTTAAGAGAAAGACAAGGCCCCATAGTACAACAACAACGGAAGCAGAGACCTTATACAGCCGATTCCTGCCCCAAATTGCTCTCCTTTGTAGAAAAGCTTTACGCGACCTCTGCATTGCGCATCAATCCAACTTGCTGCAAGTCATGTACCGACACTAATGATGAAAAGCGTCAAAAGATGAAACTGAAGGATATAACCATTTATTGCAGTGGTCTACACAATAACAAAAAGGGGTCAAATTTGTACAAAATTCATACACAGACAAAAGCAAGTGCCAAGATACAATCTCTACTTAAAAAATGTATACTGGAAAGTGTTATTTCATTCTCGATTCGAATCTTTTGAAAGATAAAAGGAAACATATCTCGACTCAAATAAACTTCCCAATCATATGTATGCCTCCAGTTTGGAAATGAATATGGAACGAAATAAATGCAGAAAATATGACAATTATAATAAAATCATGGCATAACCAAATC